AAACATTTAAGTAAAGGCTACATCATTGAAGCCGGTAAGGAGGGATTTGACCGTGATGCTGTTTGTTGGTATATTCCTCATTATCCCGTTATCAACCCTAAAAAGCCTGGAAATCTCAGAATCGTTTTTGATTGTGCAGCTGTCTATCAAGGTTTTTCTCTTAGTGATCAGCTTTTAAGAGGACCAAATACCGTAAATAGTTTATTCGGTGTACTTCTACGATTCAGATTAGGTAACGTAGCATTAGCCGCTGATATCGAAGAGATGTTTTTTCAAGTGAGGATCCCGAGACAAGATAGGGGAGCGTTTCGTCCATGGTGGTGGGAAGACGGTGATATAAAACGAACAGCCAAGGAATATTGTTTAGAAGTTCATCCGTTTGGAGCCGTGTTGTTACGTCCTTGAATCTGTTTACCCACTTTAGTGCCGAGTATGACTTGTCTAATGTAGATTAAGACCTTGACCCGATAGGTTGACTGGCTTAACCTTGAGACTAGTATGCGTGAGTTCGAAGTGGGGGTAGAGAGACGAAAACTATTCTATCCCTGATTGGCTGGCAAGCACGCGAGAGAGAGAGAGAGAGAAGACAAAGACAGCTGGATCACTAATCACTTTATTCCAACCCCGATCTAGCACTCGAATTCCCAATTCAGATTCCCCAGAAAGGACTTGATAAACATACCATTTTAGCAATTTCATTTTGAAAATTTGCATTTTTCATTGTCGCTTCAAAAGCCCAAACTTTACCTTTCAGTTGTATTCCGCAATTTGGAGGATCTTAAATGTCACTGGTCATGTTCTCTCTAATACGCTTTTTTGTGAAGTTTCCCTAGAACATTTTTACACTGTGTATAGACTACTGAGTTGTGCGCGTGGGTCATTCGTGCTTCTGGCTACTTGTGGAATAAACAATTCTCCCACCTGAATCTGATCTACCCCCTATAGTTCACAGGGAATGGGTTAGCTCGTCTTGTCTTCGTTCTGTTCGTCAATTTTTATGTGCTATCGCAATCTCTACAAAAATAGCAAACTGGAGACAAGGTTGGTGCAACCATGGATCCTTCAAAAGTGGAGTTATCGTTGGGGCAACAGCTGAGAGAGCTCCATTTATTCTTACTCTCCGACTCCTATCATTGTGAAGGTCACCTATCCAGTCTATGACTTCGTAGTGGATTCCAGAACGTTCCAGTTTTTATTTAAGAACCGGATTCGAGACTTTGTCCAAGTCTTCACTTAAGTCTAGGAAAATTACATCTACAGGAATACTTCTGTACTTTGCTGTGGCCCGATCTTCTCAGTCAAGCATTTCCTAAAACCCATATTATTCCCCGGATGAAAGATTATGCCCTCTCACATAGTTTAAAAGAGCCATCCAAATAACTTTTTCCATTAGTTTGACAACTGCACGGGTTAGACTAACGGACTGGTAGTTACTTAATAAATCTGCTCCTCGCCTTTTACATCGAACTGATTATCGTGTATTTCCAGTCTCTTGGTAGTCTAAACTACCACAGAGACATATAAACAGTATGGCCATAGATCATGCAGTTACATCCTACAGCGCTTTCATGGTCCTCGGATGAATATCGTCAGGACCACTAGACTTATCTGGTTTGAGATGTTGAAATGATCTTGGAGAAGTTCCTATTATTTTCACTCCGTAGCTGAACGTTCTCTCGAATAAAGTTATCAACTGGGCGGATTAGACTGCAGTAGATAACATCGAGTATAAATGTACAACATTTAGCAGTGAGTTCACAGCTAATGATCTCACTAGTTCCACTATCGTTGAATTCACTAGCAAAGTAAAGGACAGCAATATTATACGCCATACACATTAAAAGACCACTTACTTTCTTGAACCTATTTCTATCATTTCTTAGGTAGTGCTACCCGGATAATTCTGGAGTAGCGTCGAAGTCATGGACTAGTCAGGTTTCGGTCATAGCTACGAGTGACTTCATTTCGTCCACTAATTATCCTACTTCATAGGGTTTATTTCGTAGGCCATTAGCATGTAGTGATCTACTTTTATGAATAGAACGCATTTGGTATGATGGAAACATTTATTATGATAACCAACTGTACTGTACATTTCCCCCGCTGTCTGTGACCTTGAACCCATTCACGTACGTACGGTGGTCTCGCCAGTAAACTTTGGCACGGTCTGAATATTATTTCGATACTTCGAGATCACCAACAAGTATATCCTAACTACCATCTACAACTATCCTTCTAACATTTATCCTACTGAGGGATTTAACCTGTTAATTGGCACGTAATTGGTCTGTAGTGTGATCATAGTCAACTGAGACTCAACGTCACCACAAACATTTGCATATAAATTCCTAGAGATGGCGACCTATTCACGAAGGCCTTGGGAGCATCCGCTTCCAAGACCTGACCATACGAAAACCCGTCGAACTAAGATTTTCATCATTTTGTCAACACGTTTCCAGTTCAGCTAGTGTCACCTCCCTTTTTGTTCTATCATCTAGATATATATCTGGTCTTACTTGAATGTTAGTAGTATCAGGATTTCAAGAGCTATTTAACAAAACCCTAGTATCGTCTTAAGGAGTCTATATGGTCAGGGTTCAACATTTTTAAAGGTCTCCTTTCATATTCTTATCAAGTTTCCGACCTAAACGTCTGCAGATTTATCTGGCAAGATGCTACGAATAAATACTCCGATCTTTTCCAAATCATGCGCGTGTCTAATTTTTGGATCAGGATTGCTCGATTATCGTGTTACCAGTGTAGCTAGCATCTAACTTCGTGAAGGTCAATGCTAGAAGGCTCACAGCCTCCTGGAACAGTAAAACACATGAATACAATGGGAGTAAGGCTTCGAGCATCTTTTGCATGTGGTGGAACTTAAACAGGTACAGATCATATCAAACCACTTTTTATACTGATCACATTGTATTCCTTCCTCCATGGGCAGGGGACAATTTATCTGTCCTCACTTTTAAGTACTACCGACCAATTCAAATGGATTATTAAGGTTGAAAAACGACAAAGTACACAGTATGATCAGTACTGTCAGAATCCACCAAAAATGTATCACAAGACAGACTTAAAGAGAATGTCAAACGTTAACTAAAGTAATTCAGTTTAAAGTAGGTTAAATAACAAGTAAGCCGAAGAAAAGCTAATTTATAAGGACGGCAAAAATGTCAGAGCCTTTTAAAGCCGCTCGCCGTTTCTTTTTAACGACTTGAACGGCCTGACAAGGGGCGAGCATTCCGTATTTCAATTGCTGAGGGTCTTTGGGTGTCCGTTGGATTGCACGAATATCAGGTTTTCTTATTTTTAAGTAGTGTTTCTCTGTAGTAAATTCGCGAACTCAATGCCAAAAGCGTTAATTTAGCTTCCTCTGCTTTGTAGTCTACTATTTGGGTCTATTGATGCTTCTTAACTTAACCTGGGATACCAATTACTGGACTGAACCTCAATGTAATTGTTTAAAATTTGTTCGTGTCCACAAAACAGTGTATTGAGAATAAAATAACACTTAAGGAGATGCTATTTTTGTGTGAGTCGTTGTTTCCTGCAAGAATCACCAATAAATAGGTAAGACTGCGATTTCTCAAAAACTCTTGTCTTCAAGCAGTCCTCTTTATGATCAAAAATACGGTTCAGAATGTAACAAAGTGTCGAAACGTGACAATAACTGTTTACTGTAAAAAGGTTTTTGTGGTCGTGCTTTTGACTTCACAACTTGTGAACTTATCTTTCTGTCACCGGGACAGTGACCGACTTATTATACTGAAGAAGCAGTTATCAATAGCTGATCGAGCTAATCCTGGTAATTTTACATTAAAATTATTCATAAGTGAAACAAACTAACTGGTGGCTGAACTTGAAGCTCATGGTGCCTTGGAATCTCCATATGACAAGAAAGTCTGTCAAGCAGATCAAATTAATCGAGATTGGGCTGAGCTCGTATTCACTTATCCCCAACTTGTACCCATGTGGCGTAGGTATACGGCGCATCTTACGAGTCAGCATTCATCATTAACTACTGTTAATCAAGGAGTTGAGAATGAGGTATTTATAAGAGAGAGCACTATCAACACTATCGGGTACAAAATCTGGAAGAATATTATCACATAGACCACAACCAGATACTGTAGAGAGAACAATCGACCACCTGGCTGATTATTATCATTGGTTAGCTCAAGCGGGAAGTTCGGAACGAGCTTTAGCAGTATGGCAAGTTGTTATTGAATTCTATTATTTTCGACCGGCAGAAATTGAACGATGTTCATTTGAGCAACGGTTTCTAAAAATGGAATTATTTCGGTCAAGCGGCATACCTAAATTTGGTCAACCTGGTTCACAACATTGGAATGGATGGTTTAGAGCTCGAAATAAACGACAAAGTAAATCACAACTAGGAGAATCAAATTTATCTACAAGTCATAAAAGAAACCAATCTACTTCACCAATTATTTCGAAATAACTTCAGAAATGTCTAGTGTAGCTGGGAAATTGACCGCTATCGCTAGCACTTGTGAAGACGCATTGATTGGTTGTTCAGGAAAAGGTATTCTTGATGAATCCTACGGAAATACAGGTCCAGATGTTGTTCAATTCATTCTTTCTCCAGAAGTTGCAGCCGACCAATGTGTTCGTCGTGGGAGCATCCCTTAACTTACAGGCCAAGGCTCATTTAGAAACAGTCGAACCATCTTATATCGTCATGAAAAAGCTTGAGTTCATCTCGAACGTGCTCTCGAAGAAGTTGGCCGGCTACTTTCAAATGTATTAATCGCTCAAGATTTAATAGACATAGAAAAGGAAGATCCTGAAGGATTAGTTTTTTTATGTTATTAAACAATGCTTAATAGATTTATGAAGATTTGAAGAAAGATCGACAGCTGATACTCCTCAAAGTCGAGCTCGTAGAGCATCATTTCAGCAACGCTTCTTTTTGTTGTTTTGAGTTTCTTGGAGCATACAATCTTGATATAGCTAAATCTCTTCACTTTCCTATGGATATTCGTCTTGTACATGATTTAGCATCTGTAGGTAGCATTCAACGTCAAGGTTTAACATCATTTCCATCACAATCATGGATGTCGAGTAATATAAACACTACAAATAATCGAGCTAATAATAATGATGACAACAATAAAGATCATTCGAATACGCCATCGCAATTGGCTAATGATCTCCCATACACAGAAGTTCGCCAAGTTGTTTACCAGCATATACGTGATTATTAGAAGGTTTGAGCCATTCAAGTGGTTGACAGAAGTCATAGATTGCATACCAGAAAACGTATGAGGACCTTCTCAGCTACATGCAATTCCGAAAAACAACAAATCAATAGTGAAACAAACGACTAAACTTCGTTATCAGTAACAAATTCAATAAGTAAATAAAATAGCAGCTGACAAGATGTACCTATAAGTGTCTTACTTGTTGTAAACACTGCTTTTCATTTTCTAACCCACCTAGAATTTCATCTAGTTATTTGGTGTTAACAAACAAACCACAGGCACCAAATAAATGGATTCAAAAACGTTAGTTTGTATTATAAAATCTGAGAAAATTCCAATTCCAACGTTCATAATACTATTGTCAACTCACTGTTTACATACAATAATTAAATAACAGGTAAACACTATTTAGATATTACTCGTCAACATGCACTAAAAATTTGCTTATGATTTGTTCAGTGATTTCGGATTCTGTTCACAGAAATTTATTTGTTAACCCTATAACAGACACATCATAAACTAGCATTAACCGCAACATGTTTTAGTTATCATGCTCAAAACAAGCACGCATCACTTATGAAGAATACTTAGCTAATTTATGCGACAATCAAAGTAATGTTATTCATAAATCCTGTAAGTGTTCAGAAAGCGGGCAGAAAAGGCTATCAGCGTCAATTGTTACACATATAATTTTTCTTTCTCAGATACTTTACAATAATATGTCCGTTCAGTCGAAAACGATGATACTTATAATGGATAGAACAGTTTATGGTAGTATATTGGCAAGTTATACAATATTTATAAATAATTTAATCCTTTAAGTGCTTCAACCTTCATTTTGTAAACAACTACCAACACCCATGTTCACCACTACCATAATTAGGGAGGTGAGTTATATGTAAATGATTTTAGAGCTCATTTTTGCTCGAAACTCTGATTTCGGTCTATTTTTGACTTGATAAATGGTGAATTTCACTTGCCTGAGTTTGCATTGTTACAAATAACTAAATTAGCCTTACTTAGCATTCACCCAGTTTGTGAGCGACAAATGCAACAAGCTACTATTAGACTGGAATAAACGCTATGTGACAACCACAACGATTAATAAAATTGACGTGAAACAGAAAAATACTGTTAGTAGCTGATAAATAGTGACATCCAAAATCCTCTACGACATGTTACATGTGGGCGAGAACCCGTCGCATGACTCTCCGACCATGTCCTAAATCACAACAATCCCTCTTTGGAAGCACGCGCAACTTTGTCTCAACATAGTGTAAAAATATAAAAGAACGTATGAAACACACAAAGCGTAGTAAAATACATTGAAGTTAGCTATTTTATTTTTTTCGAAGCAAAAGTTCTTGGTGTCAGATCCGAATATTTGTTTGGCTGCACAAATCAATTAAATTACTTACCTTGATGCAAGCAGTTTTATATGACTTGAAGGCCGTCGACCAAAGGGGCAGCTGAGTCGGTCCTTTATACTTTGAAGTCTATTCCATAACTAAGTTCGAAGAACTTCTTGTACGGTAATATAAAGACAACTAAGAGTATATTTTTGCTAGTTTGACAGTGTATACCGCCAAGATCATCATATCTTGTGACTACACAATGTTTCTGTGCTTAAATATAGTTCCCATGAAATAAGTTGACCTGAACCTTCTAGAAAATAAATTGTTCCATCTTTTCTCTGGAAAGCGTAGTTCCCTTTTGTCCTATCGAGTTCAATGGATTGACCAGTTCCTTAGGACTGGTTGTGCTACGTTATACTAACCGAACTATGATTCATTTGAAATGACTATGCGTTTCATGCTCCTTATACGCCATCGACAGAACACTCAGCAAACTAAAAATTCTGTTGAGTGAAAGTCGTGATTTATCATATAATTAAACTTTCGTCTATGATGAATGTCCAAATGTCTTTAAGACGTGTTTTGCGCCAGTAAAGTAGTTATAAACCATTGGTTTACTATCTGGATCCAGTTCATAGGGTTTTTTCTTAATACATGTATAACGTTGTGTGCTGTGTGAAACATCCGAAACGACCCTAGATCTATAACATGTACCCATGTGATTTGACTTGATATAAATAATAGACATCCATATGGTTTGAATATGATTTCATTCTGTACTTACGAGATGTTGACAAACGTTTGTTGGCTACAGTGATGTACTTTGATCTAAACTAAATTCTTCCCAAGAATAAATGCTTTTTGGGAGAGTAGACTTTTGAGGGAAATCATGTTCATTCACTAGAGTGGATTTTGTGAAAATGCAGATTTGCCCTCAAACTAGAGAAAATCGTTGTCTAAAGATTCGTCTTTCCCGGGTTTATGTTACAAGTTTCTTACAGTATTGACCGTTTTTAGTATATCTATTGTTTGGGTGATTATTGTCAAATGTCCATGTCACTCAAAACTTACATATCAAAAGTACATAATTTTGTCCTTGCCTTGGCCATTTCTTCATATTGATTACCTGTATGACAATTAGGCTAGTAAATTTTATCACTCCCTGTAGCCATACAAAATCTTGCATCAGTAGACTGATTGTTAGTGACAGTTCTAATGTATCATCACCATAATGTACCATTCCTATACTCTGCCTGAAAGCATTAATTCTTGCGATATTTTAATTATTCTGTCAACTTTTGTCGCCATAATCTTACACCCCTTTTAAATTATTTCCTAGTTGTCGCTTTCAATCATGGGTGGTACAAATAGCCGTATTGAGACAAATCGAAATCCAGTAAAAACGTATACAGGATTTGAAGACCATGTAAATAATCTGTCTTCTCGTTATCTAACCTCTGTATAGGATAATGAACAAGTTATTTCCAAGGAATCATTTCGAGTTCGTTCATTGTTTTCAGTATTTGAATTTTGTACTTGTGTGTAGAATAAGTTTGACTTCTGCTTGTATTATCTGGCCGATCTTTTATGGGGTAATTTCGCAGATGATCGTAATTCCAATGATGAATTCATGGTTCTCAAAAAATATCAAAGCATAATTGAATGCTTGTCTTCTGCTCAGGAAAAACTGGAGGTATTTTTAAGCTTGTTTAAGCTACGTGTGTTAAGTGAATCAGGTAATTGGTAAATTATCTATTTTCACAAAATTTCAAGATGTCAAGGCACTATTTAGGTGGTTCTTGTTGGGAAGAGATTTGAAACCAGACATGTGGCAACTCATATTCACTTCTATCTTGTCCTCAGTAAGCCCTTCTAATTATACAAATCCTGTATTGTTATACTTTATTAGTTATTGGTTTAATCCTTTTCTTTTTATGTGATGTTTTCCAAGTGAATTTAGTTAAGCATACATCAGTAAAGGAATTCTAGGCCTTTATAAAGCATTTTGAATTACTCGGGTAGGTAACAGCTTGTTAATATGCAACTACATAGTCTTTTTGTACTATACTTATCAGATATGATTTTTAAGACCTGCAAGTGATATTGCCTTAAAACAGTGTCCTTTTTCAGATTTCATACTATTGCAATAAATAGAGTAGACGAAACCTAATTATTATCAGAAGGAGGTTTTGTGGAGATCGCAGTAATTTAATGGTTGAGTTCATGAGTCAATTAAAGCTAGGCCACCATGAAAAACCTGTAAGCACTGGACAGCCGTTTCTTCCTAGTATGGTGCTCCTCAATGATGCGTATCCACGATCCCGTGACCAGGGGAGTTCAACCGGGTCTCTTGTAAAGATAGTAACTCACTGAAGACGATGATGGAGGTTGACTCAATTTCGTGGATTGGTTGGAGTTGGACATTAACACCGTTGGATACCGGCTCAGTGGCCTAGAGGTTGAGCGCTCGCACGCAAGACCGAAGGTCCTTGGTTTGAATTTCGCGATGGGACCGTGGATGCGCACTGCTGAGGAGTCCCACAGTAGGACGAAACGGCCATCCAGTGCTCCCTGGTTTACATGGTGGTCTAGCTTTATTTGACTCATGAAACCTAATTACTTTGTTGTTAGTGCCATTTTACATACCTTTTTTACTTCATACGGACACTGTAGTGAAGTGGGTGGATTATATCAACAAAACGAAGTTGGAAATTGCTATAAGTTGTAAACCATTTTTTATGGGAAGATACAAGGTTTTCATCTTTAGAATAATGTTTCAGAGTCTGCGGGGTTAACAATTAGACAAACTGTAAAGTTTGTACAACAAATTTTCCAGACATTGTTTATTAGATTAGTTTTAGAAATAAATTAGTAACTTGCTATTTTTCATCATAAAATTGATGGGACAGTTAATGAACTAAACATTTCTAACCTGCAGTTTATTTTTTAAATTTCATTTTCTCGATAGTTTGAATTTGTAGCAAATTGTATTTTTTACAGCATCTTTCATCTCTAAGTCAGTTTTATCATAAACTGGGATCACTGTCGTATCAGTAAATATTAGCGATATGTTTGAAATTCCCTTGGCAACGTGTAAGTAATCTTTCTTCTGAACAAATCAGTCATTTAAGGCTTCTTATATCTTAAGTAGATTAAATCACACTACCGATCAGTGTTAGAAGTTCCCAGTTGTTTCTGTCATTTAGTATAGGTATATCATATCTCTTTCATGCCATCACTTTACAGTATAAACGGTGAGACTATAATTTATGGGTGACGCTAAGGTGACCTTGAAAATGTTCATCTAATGCTAAATGAGGGTTATAAAGCAGTGTTTGAAATTATAATTATAATTCACTGTTTGTGGTTAGCGTTAAGAGTTAGACTTAAGGCTTTCATCACGAGCCAAAATGTCAAAACTCTATTTAACCGAGTGGATAAATGAGTTCCGCGCCGAAATCCAAGACCTGTTATCCTAAATCTGATTGGTTCATCTATAAATTATAATCTCGCCTCATAAACGATGTATAGCGAATCATATTCTGTGATCCATATATTATTAGCCTAGAACGCTTCACCTTTAAGATCTTCAGTTGAACTTCCTTTTAGTCGCTTTATTCTTATTTCAGAAAACTGGGTTTTCAAATCCTAGTCTAGATTAAATGCATATTCCTTTATAGCCGTTTATCTCAATAGTAACTCTAAGTTTGATATTTTGTTAATTGACGAGATTTTACAATTCTTTTCATACTAAGACCTTTTTTGTATTTTGATAATGCAGAGTTGTTTTCAGTAAAATTTACATCTTTTGAACACATAGATATACCTTAAATGTATTTCAATACTTTAAGTTAAATTCAAATATTTGTCTCATATGCTTGTACATATGGAGAAAAAGATCCCTCCTAATATAGTAAATGAGAACACTAGTGAGGACAATCAAATGTATGTGAATACAAAACTACAGAATCTCTTATTGAAATCTGAGGATCAAACGGTAAATACTTCATTTGCAAAACGTCCATCAATTGTCACAGACTTCGCCGTTCATTGGTTTCCATACTTATCACTTTCTGTTCTCGTTCTCTTCTCTTTGGTCTTCTTAACCTTCTACCGCCAGGCATTCCACTTTCGATTGGTGATGCACACTACTTATATTCGTCGACATCAGTAGCACACACCACACTAGTAATCGAACTGTATTTAAACAACCATTAGCCTGTTTAGTCGTACAGGCAATTAAAGCATTCAATCATATGTACGCAAAAATATGCATATTTATGAGTTCAGAAAATATATATTATAATGGATACAAAGATAATCAATAGAACCCAGGTTGACTCATCCATCTGCCAATTGGTTATCCAGTATTTCGTAAAATGTACTGGTTTGTTTGAAAAATTTACCGAACGTCCGTTTTCAAAGTTTTTAATTTAATATTATTCATCTTTTATCTTAAGCTATTTTAGTTGTTAGTTTTTCTGATTTTCTACAACTTAGTTTACCTTCAGTTGGGAATTGACTTTTGTTTGACTGTCGTCACCTGAGTAATCCGAACACATTGTATGATTGTTGTGTACTGATAACAATAATGAGTGATAACTTTGGCATCCATTTATGGACCAGTATTATGCATATATTTATTATCGTATAATTGCTAAATAAACTGGTCACAATCTCTGATTGTCCCAATATATAAGAAGGGGTCAAAATCATCCTGTGATAACCATAGAGGGATTAATCTAAAATCCTAGCCTCGATAGTTATCGGGCGCCTAACTAAATCTCGTGAACTGCAAGCACGAGAAAATCAGGCTGGCTTCAGACCTGGTCGTGGCTGTATAGACCACATATTCACTACTCGTCAGGTTTTAGAGCACAGACATGTTTATCGGCGTCCGACAATGATAGTTTTTCTTGACTTAAAGGTAGCATTTGACTCTGTAGACTGAGAGGTTCTGTGGCAGTCTGTCATTAAAAGGTGTACCTGAGAAGTACATAAACCTTGTGAAGGCTCTTTACTCGAACACTACCAGTCGAGTAAGAGCTTATGGCGAACTGTCATCTGATTTTACAACCTCAAGTGGTGTCCGACAAGGTTGTCCACTATCCCCATTTTTGTTTAATTTCATTATAGACCTGTTGCTGGAAATAACACTCTCTTCGACTGAATTTTCAGGAATTGATCTACTAGGAGGTTCACTTATTGACTTAGAATACGCAGATGACATAGTCCTGTTTGGTGAAGACTCTGAAAAAATGCAGTTTTCTGTTGGAACTCAGTAATAATGCCAGGATGTTTGGGATGCGTTTCTCCCCATCCAAATGTAAATTGTTACTCCAGCACTGGCCTGCGTCAACACCCGAACTAAGGACAGGGAGTGAAGTAGTCGAACGCGTGGACAACTTCACTTATCTTGGAAGTCTGATCAGCCCTAATGGGTTGGTGTGTGACGAAATCTCAGCACGGATTCAAAAAGCTCGTTTGGCTTTTGCCAACTTACGTCATCTATGGCGAAGACGAGATATCCGTCTATCAATTAAGGGACGAGTATACTGCGCAACAGTTCGCTCTGTTCTACTTTACGGCTGTGTAACATGGCCATTAAGAGTAGAAGATACTCGTAGGTTACTAGTATTTGACCACAAATGCCTTAGAAATATATCACCGGGTAAGTAATAGTGAGGTTAGACACAGGGTAATACGGAATGATGGTAAATCAGTTGATGAGGTCATGAATCTTCATCGACTGAAATGGTTAGGCCACGTGTTACGTATGCCTGAACACTGATTACCACGACGCGCAATGCTGACTAGTATTGGGGACGGTTGGAAAAGAGTTATGGGCGGCCAAACCAAAACATGGCATCAGTGCTTGAAGTCACTAACTTCTAGTCTGAGCCATGTTGGCAGATGCAGACTACTTGGTTGGGGTCCGTGTGACTATGGTAACCAATGGTTGGAGACTGTGTGTGACATGACTCAGAATCGATCACAATGGCGTAGGTGTATACATTTATTTTCTTCCCTTACACCTTGAGATTAGAATTGCTTCATAACTTTCTTCCTTCCTATACTATATCCCTATATACAACCTATAATTTATATACTACCACCACTAAATTAACTACTATGAATCCGGTGTTCATCTTGTTGTGCTAACGATGTATGGCAACTTGGACCGATGCATAAATGTGCCTGGTCCTACGTTGTAGCTGACTGACTGACTGACTATTAATCGCTGTCTCCCACATTCACAGACTCATTTGGCTAAATTTTGTACAAATGTTATTTCCTATTTTATTGGTACGATGTGGTTAGTCTGTTTGGTATATAAACTCAGTATGTTTGAAATACAATGATTTATACCATAGAGGCTGTTATTGGTGTTCTGGACTTAACTGGCTGGACTAGGCAGGAAGGAGGACCGATCAGTACTCTAGACTGCTCCTACGGTTTTCGTGTATCACTGTTCTAATAGATAATTCGCTGCTCTCTGATTGGCGGTCTTATCACGTCACACATTAACTGGGCATCCACTCGGCCACAAGATATAACAATGATACATTAAATTACAAACATTGGAGGATTCACTATCCGAATAAACATTCATAATTTCAGTTTGTTGTTATCTAGACACTAGAGTAAAAATTAATGTAGTTTTACAGGGGCATTGATTCGAACCTTATGTTACATGCCACACGTTTTTAGGGCCTACTATTGCTTCAAATCTGGTGGTTTGTGAAAACTTGTCTAATTTAGAGATATTTTTCATCAGGGACCAGTATTAAGTGGGAAAAAATTCGTGGACACTTGAAATGTACTAACAACTGGCTAAATAATTTTATACAGGAAAGGAAATAGTCATGTGATGTAAATCACTGGATTTAAAGTATTTGGTTAGACGTTAATGTAGTCACTGTGAACAGTATATGTCTTCAGTTTACCGCTATATAAGATTAAATGCATACAGTAATTAAGCGTTTCAAATCTTGACATGTCCTGTTGATGAAAGCTACCTTAGAGTCTATCAATTTAACACAGTATTTTGCAGTAGACTGCCTACTCTTACTTACTTACTTACGCCTGTTACTCCCAATGGAGCATAGGCCGCCAACTAGCTTTCTCCAACCCACTCTGTCCTGGGCCTTCTTTTCTAGTTCTATCCAGTTCTTGTTCATTCTTCTCATGTCTGTCTCTATTTCTCGGCGTAATGTGTTCTTTGGTCTTCCTCTTCTCCTTTCACCTTCAGGATTCCATGTGAGGGCTTGTCTTGTGACACAATTAGGTGATTTCCTCAAAGTGTGCCCAATCCACTTCCAGCGCTTCCTCCTGATTTCTTCCTCCGCTGGAATCTGGTTTGTTGTCTCCCACAGTAACTTGTTGCTGATAGTGTCTGGCCATCGGATCCGAAGTATCTTGCGTAGACAGCTGTTAATAAACACTTGTATCTTCTGGATAATGGCTTTTGTAGTTCTCCACGTCTCCGCCCCATACAATAGAACTGTCTTGACATTTGTTTTGAAAATTCTAACCTTGGTGTTGGTTGACAATTGTTTTGAGCTCCAGATGTTTTTAAGTTGTAAGTATGCTGCTCTTGCTTTGCCGATCCGTGCCCTCACATCTGTATCTGATCCACCGTGTTCATCAATGATGCTGCCCAGATATGTAAAGGTTTCCACATCCTCCAAAGCTTCTCCATCAAGTGTAATTTGATTGGTGCATATTGTATTGTATCGGAGAGTCTTGCTTTTCCCTTTGCTTATATTGAGACATACTGCTGCTACACTGGTCGTTTTCTCCTGCATTTGTTGTTGCGTTTGTGATAGAATAGCCAGATCATCTGCGAAGTCTAAATCGTCCAGCTGCATCCTGCCTGTCCACTGTATCCCGTGCATTCCTCCAGATGTTGACGTCTTCATAATCCAGTCGATCACCAGGAGAAAGAGAAAGGGTGAGAGTAAGCAACCTTGCCTAACACCAGTCTTTACTTCGAACGAGTCGGTGAGTTGTCCTCCGTGGACGATTTGGCAGTTTAGTCCATCATAGGAGTTCCGTATGATGTTGACTATCTTCTCAGGCACGCCGTAGTGTCGAAGAAGTCTCCATAGTGTCGTCCTGTCCACGCTATCAAATGCCTTCTCGTAGTCAATGAAGTTGATGTAGAGTGATGAATTCCATTCGGTTGACTGTTCCACAATGATACGTAGAGTTGCGATTTGATCTGTGCACGATCTATCCTTACGAAATCCAGCTTGTTGATCTCGAAGTTGAGCGAACACGGAATCCTTCATCCTGTTTAACAATACCCTGTTGAAGACTTTCCCTGGTATTGAGAGGTGAGTGATGCCCCTGTAGTTGTCGCACTTGCTCAGATCGCCTTTCTTTGGTATGTTGATCAGAAGTCCTTTTTTCCAGTCTGTTGGTACTTGTTCTTCATACCAAATCTTACCGAAGAGGATGTGGAGTATCTTGGAAGTTGCTGCTACGTTTGCCTTCAGTGCCTCCGCCGGGATGTTGTCTGGTCCCGCTGCTTTTCCACTCTTGATTTGTCTAATGGCCATGCTGATCTCTTCAATTGTTGGTGGGCCAATATCGATTGGGAGGTCTGTGGGTGCTGCTTCGATGTTGGGTGGGCTCAGTGGAGCTGGTTGATTCAAGAGTTCCTTGAAGTGTTCTACCCACCTGTTTCGTTGTTCTTCAGTGTCGGTGATTACTTTACCTTCCTTGCTTTTCACTGGTCTTTCTGGCTTACGGTAATTTCCAGCAAGTTTCTTTGTCGTATCATACAGTTGTCTCATGTTTCCTTCTCTTGCAGCCTTTTCCGCTGTCATTGCTAAATCTTCCACATATTTACATTTGTCGGTTCTGATACTCCTCTTCACTTGCTTCTTTGCCTCTGTGTATTCGGCTTGTGCCTTGGCTTTTTCCGCTCTTGTTCGGCTGATATTGATTGCTGCCTTCTTGCTCCTTCTTTCTTAAATTTTATCCAGTGTACCAACAGTGATCCATTCCTTGTGATGGTGCTTCTTTTGGCCCAGAACCTCCTGACATGTTGAAACGATTGCCTCCTTGACACTTTTCCAGTTGCTCTCCATGGTTGTTCCCTCTCCATTGAGTAGATCATAAAAGACCTGGAACCTGTTGCTGAGGGCTATGTTGAATTTGTTGAGTTTGTCAGCATCTCGAAGAAAGGCCGTGTTAAACTTTTGTTATGTTGTCCGCACCGTTGTCCAGTGCTTCTTGAGTTTTAGTTTCATCTTGGCGACCAGCAAATGATGATCGGATGCAATATCAGCTCCTCTTCTGGTTCTCACATCCTCCATCGTCCTCCTGAACTGTTTGTTGATGCAGATATGGTCGATTTGATTCTGTGTAATGTGATTCGGTGAAATCCAAGTGGCTTAGTGTATGTTTTTGTGTGGGAATATGGTGCCACCTATGACTAGTTTATTGAAGGCACATAGGTTTGCAAATCTCTCACCATTTTCGTTCCTTTCTCCCAGTCCATGTCGTCCCATGGCGTCTTCGTATCCAGTGTTATCCTTTCCAACCTTGGCATTGAAATCTCTGATTTGAATGGTCAGGTCCTTGGTTGGGCACTTCTCGAAGATTGACTGCAGCCTATCGTAGAATTGGTCTTTAGCGTCTTCATCGTAGTCGTTGGTAGGCGCAAAGCGTTGGATGACGTTGATTGTAATGCCCTCTCTCTTTGTTTTGAAGGAGGCTTTGATGATCCTTGGTCCATGAGATTCCCATCCAATAAGTGCATTTTGTGCTTTTCTGGACAGCACCAATGCAACTCCTTGTGTATGTGGGGCATTTTCTTCTTCATGACCGGAGTATAACAAGTTCTCCTGAAGATAGTCGTTGTTGTCCAACCTGCGTCCAATGTGTTTCACTGATTCCAAGCACTTCCGGGTTGTATTTTCTCATTTCTGCAGCAATTTGGAAGGATCTTCTGTTCTCCCACATTGTCCGGACATTCCATGTACCTATAAAAATTGTCGCTCTGGTTGTAAGAAGGTGCATCGGCCTCATGACTTCCGAAGGAACCCGGCTTTCATCATGAGACGTCATAATTATTCCTTCTACTCCCAGGGCAGAATTTAAATGGTTTGAATGATTTTTTCTGGTTAGCGTTTTTTAGCGAGTTGATTTTCTACGGGATGGGGTCGCTAACCCCATGCTCAACCCTCCTCCTTTGGGCCTACTCTGTATTATACGATAATCATTTATCATACTAGTTTATGTACTTTAAATAAATAAATTTTCCTTAGTCAAATCGTTAATCTTCTTGATTTTGTTTTAATTTTATTTTCCCAGGATGAAAATGGTATATACAAACACGACACAATCGTCAGCTGTTTAAATCGTTTATGTCCAGATATTTGTAATGACTTAGTCAATATACTTTTACAACTCTTAAATGATAATCATTCATTTAATTTGGTAAGGTGCAGAAACATATATATATATATACCTGTTCATTTAAACAATTATTATTTTCTAGACAGATTTCAATCCTTATACACTTTCTGGAACAATATTAACGTCGGATCTCCAATGGTTGTTCTCTACTTTTCTAACTTATCCATACAAACGTGCACCGAAAACTTGTCTACTTCAAACAATACCATTGGAATGTGTATGTATATTATTCTGACCGACTAATGCGTATTTCAGGAGCAGTTGTCACATTTACATTGTTTGTATGACAGTACAAATCATGGGATGAGTTTGACCAGGTAATTACTTGGGCTATTGTGTTATGAATTGTCAATAAATATTATGGTGAATTTTTTTTTATCGATTTCATCAACAAACGTTTGGTTAATCCACAGTTAATAACAATAACGCTATGTATTTATACGTTTTTACTGCTCTGCATCCGTTTTCTCAGCTGTTGTAAGATACTAGCTTATGTTATTATCACATACTTAGCCAACGACTGGAGTATTCACTTGTTAGCGCAATATAGGTTGGATCAAAACACGTTCCGTGCAGAATTGTGTTGGTGCACACTGATTGGCTATTTCTTGTCCAATCAGCGCTAGTGGATACTTGGAGAAGACTCTAGAATCTTCTCATTTAAAAAATATAAATATACTAACGTTCTCCTTATAGTGTCTCTTACTTCCGTCTACCCTTGTTATTTGGAATATAATTTCGTTCCTGTTCAGCCGTGTCCTGGTTTGAGGACTTGTCGAGTGAATTGATTTCCAAGAAAACCAAGCGATAGGAATAGCCGGATCGTAATAAGGATAATTATACCATCGGTCTTCTGGTCAATACCAAACAATTGATATGGTGTAAAACAATTTCAAGCTACCTGAGAACCATAGTCGAAGAATATCATCCATGATCACTTATCTTCCAGTACGATCTTGGTTTCTAGGATATTGTGTACTATAATTTGTGATTTGCTTTTCGCATATAGCCAAAATGGTATTTTGCAAATAACTTCTATCTGGTTTTGTCAGTCAATATTTTTTATCATATTTGGGTGGATTATGTAACTTGTCTGGCTAAAACTGATTGCAATGAAGGATAGTTACTTTTGTCTGGTGGCAAATTTAGTGTAAGATGAAAAAAATAAATTCAATTGACGTCTTTAAGTGTTCTCACTAATAATTGTTCTTCTACATATTTGTTTTCATGCCAGTCATCTGATTTTAATAACTATTTATCAATCTAACCTAACTTCATTATCTCAAGTTTTTACCCTTTTGTGAACCTATAAATAATGTCGCTGTTGTTCTTACTAACAGTTTTTTATCAGTCTGAGGAAGAGATGCATTACTGAGCTTTGTTTCTTACAATAAAATGGCTTGGATATAGACAAATACTAAGAAACAAGGTTCAGCACTGCTTGTTTCTAGTCAATTTCTATGCATAACGTATGCTTTCACTTGATTTCCAGCTCAAATTCAGCTAGGAAAAAGAAGTAAAATGGACTAGAGGTACATGCGTTAATTAGAGAAATCAGTTTTTATGAAGCTAACGTTCAGTGGTTTGATCTTATTTCCGACTTATCCTTGCTAAGTAATAAATATACCTTATAGCCTAAATCTTTCAATGTTGAATGATAATAAAATTCACTTGTTATTTGAGGATGTCTGTACTGTGAGAACTCTATTTCAGAAAGGTTATTTAAATGTTAATAGTTTCACGATACTTCTTATTGTTGGAAAACAATAAAATAACAACCCAGGACCTACCAGTCTCGAGCCGAAGCCCTTAACCGATAGACCACTGAGCTGGCATCCAATGGTGTTAATGTCTAACTTCAACTGATCCACGAAGTTGAGCAACCATTCACCAATTGTCTTCAGTGAGTTCCTATCTCACAACAGACGTGGTTTTGAACTCCACTGGTCAGTGCTTCTCACTAGAGCTCCTAGATATAAATCAATTGACTCACGCTTTCAACTATGAAAAAATACTAAATCTTCACAAAACCCCTTCTGATAATTAATATAATCATATGCTCACTAGTGACTTCGAGAAGTGTTTCTAGGAGCTCTAGTGAGAAGCACTGACCAGTGGAGTTCAAAACCACGTCTGTTGTGAGATAGGAACTCACTGAAGACAATTGGTGAATGGTTGCTCAATTTCGTGGATCAGTTGAAGTTAGACATTAACACCGTTGGATGCCAGCTAAGTGGTCTATCGGTTAAGGGCATCGGCTCGAGACTGGTAGGTCCTGGGTTCGAATCTCGCTCGCGAGAGCGGGTTCGTGGGTGCGCACTGCTGAGGAGTCCCATAATAGGACGAAACGGCCGTCCAGTGTTTCCAGGTTTTCCATGGTGGTCTAGCTTCAATTGACTCACGCTTTCAACTATGAAAAAATACTAAATCTCCACAAAACCCCTTCTGATAATTAATAAAATAACACTCACAAGTGCTAATTCATACAAAGTTCGTAACTACTCCAATAAGATTATGACTGAATGAAAGGACAATGATGTCAGTACTTTTGTATTCGTAATATCATCCCGTGTAATTTCTTAAAGTTACTTCTATCATTATGCATACTCGAGGCTTCTGACGTAATCATTTGTGTGTAGATAAACGAGACTTCTTAATTTGCTGAAATCACATTTAAGAAGCAAACATAATACAGCTATCATATTCATTTAACCAATATATATAATTACTTATTACAAGTGTAATCGATATATATTCACTACTGAGATTTTATTTCTCAATGCAAAATTATGACTTTGTTATTAAATGCTATTTCGGAAACAGTAACTATCATTAATATATAATTAAACAGTGTCGTTTCGCTGATCTAGTATCATAAAAGTTCAGTCACGCATTATTTTTGCTCTTTGTGGCTTTTATTTTGTTATACTTACTTGATATGATAAACTAAGTATCCATGATTTTAAATTTAGAAAGTGTATTACGTATTGCTCTTCTTTCATTCTGCGTAGTGAAAGTTTTGATAATTTTTATTATCCATATTGAAGACGTGTTTAACATATATATGTATATTTCATTGTAACTTACTCTTCTATCAAGTCATTTTTTATTGTGTCATCTTTCACTTTTAAATTGTAAGGAAACTAAAGTGAATTATAACATTTATTCCAGCCCTATTTGAAGTAATTCATACTATAAATCCTAGCGTTACTTTATTCTATTTATGATGCAACTTGATGTATACTAAGATAATAAAACGTAAAGAAGCTGTGGTTAAAAAAACAGATTTCCCCATCCTACTTTGTCCGTAGCTTTCTGATGTTTGATCCCAAAGTTTTTCAACCCTTGTTTGCCTACAGTTCAATTAAAGCTATCAGCTGCACTTAACATTCCTTAGAAATATTCAGAAACATCTTTGAATATTTAAATATATTTCACTGATATGATTCAAATCACAAAAAAATTAATTCTTTTAACCGGTATTTTTAAGACGTCTACATCCTGCGCTTAGGACCATAAACTAGAAAAAAACGATTTTATAATTGATTGATCATTGAGTTGTGACTAATGTCATATTTGTCTAGTCTGTTGTTTCTGATCGGATTCTATCTACCAAGTTACCATGTCACCTCTGGTCAAAATAAGTTAACATTGCTTTCCTTATTATGAGATGTCAGGTGATTGAAGGTAGTCAGTAGGATTATTTGGATTTACTTTCCGTACTATCTGAGGCCTGTCGTTAAGTTATACCTGCAATCTCAAGGGAAGTGATGCTGTCTGGTGGATTCGAACCCATGTCACTCGACTTTACAACATGAGACGTTATGTTAGGATATTCATAAAAATATCCCAAAAATTATTCTATCTTGAACGTGAAATGGTATGTTTTCACACGTTTTCAGACTTTTCACATATCTCACATGTTGTTTCCTATTGGTCAATATTTACGGTCTCCTAACTGTATAAACTGGATTGTCTGTAAATTATTTTATTCTTTTTCTAACCCCATAAACAATTTCCATCTAACGGTTTGTATTCTGATATGTTGGAGATTGGGGAACAGTATTGCTGTCGTACTGGGATATCTGGAGCTGGTCAATCGGTAGAATTTTGAGTAGCCACATAGTGGTCCACAATACGTTGGCATGGAGCTATGTCGGTCTCAACTGATTTCCTACAGAACTGAGATATTTAAAATTGTCTGATGGTTGGACAGTGACTATTCTCATGTTTGCTGAGTGATTTATTGTTGATCGAATCTTATTGATCGATCCCTCTAGTCTTTAAAGATCCACTAACCTATATCAATCACCGAAACTCTCCAATTTCATGTACTAGTCAGCGTTTTGCTTCAATCTAATTTATTTAATTCTTATAGTTATCGATTGGTGCAATAGCTTATTATCATATACTTTCCCCAATTTTTTTCGTTATTTAGACTGTTAGAACTGGTATTCGATTACAATGGACCAATGATTGTCTTCCTCAAAGCTAAAGAATTCTTATTCTGTTTATTATCTGATCAAGGTTTAAAGTAAGATATTCATAAGTACAATTTACTTTAAATTTTTCTGAACAGTACGCGAATTTTTTTGTAAATATTTGTTATTTAATATACTGACTGGTTTCAGTGTTAGTTATTTGCTATTTTTATTTATGACGTTTAATGCTAAACTATGAATATACCGCCAGTTTTTTACGTATACTTGTTATTGGTTAGTATTAACACTCATTCACCAAACTTTCAAGTCAATCATCTGTTTCCACTCTATCACAAAGCCTTTAATTCTCTTTGTGCTTTTCAAGAGAATGACTTCTTATACAATCTTATCGAGTAGTTCAGTCAACTATCGTTATGGATTCGGTATTTTTTAAATGGAGAAAATGGTTTCAAGTTTAGACTATGATTTGAGTGAGCAGACTGTGTGTGTATGTGTTACTTATACCAATCCCCCTGTAGTTCTTTTACAGTTACTACTGTTCCCAAGCCCAGGTAAAGTAGGAGGGTTGGGAATTGGGTTAGCGACCCCATCCCGTAGAAAACTAACTCGCTAAAAAATGCTAACCACGATAGATAATTCAAACAATCTAAACTCTGCCCTGGCACTTGAAGGGAGAATTATGATGCCTCAGGAGGAAAGCTGAGATTTTTCGGAAATCACGAGGCCGATGCTCCTTCTAACAACCAGGGCAACGATTTTTACAGGTACATGGAACGTCCGGACAATGTGGGAGATCGGGAGGACTAGTAAAGTAGCAACGGAAATGAGGAGGTATAGATCGACAGTCAGTCAGTCAGCTACAACGTAGGACCAGGCACATTTATGCATCGGTCCAAGTTGCCATACCTCGTTAGCACAACAAGATGAACGCCGGATTCATAGAAGTAGTTAATTTAGTGTTGGTAGTATATAAATTATAGGTTGTATTTAAGGATATAGTATAGGAAGGAAGAAAGTTATGAAGCAATTCTAATCTCAAGGTGTAAGGGAAGAAAATAAATGTATACACCTACGCCATTGTGATCGATTCTGAGTCATGTCACACACAGTCTCCAACCATTGGTTACCATAGTCACACGGACCCCAACCAAGTAGTCTGCATCTGCCAACATGACTCAGGCTAGAAGTTAGTGACTTCAAACACTGATACCATGTTTTGGTTTGGCCGCCTCTAACTCTCTTCCAACCATCCCCAATACTAGTCATCATAGCGCGTCGTGGTAATCAGTGTTCAGGCATACGTAACACGTGGCCCAATCATCTCAGTCGATGAAGATTCATGACCTCATCAACTGATTTACCATCGTTCCCTAATACCCTGCGTCTAACCTCACTATTACTTACCCGGTTATCCCAGCAGATGCGAGATATATTTCTAAGGCATCTGTGGTCAAATACTAGTAACCTACGAGTATCTTCTACTCTTAATGGCCATGTTACACAGCCGTAAAGTAGAACTGAACGAACTGATGCGCAGTATACTCGTCCCTTAATTGATAGACGGATATCTCGTCTTCGCCATATGTGACGTAAGTTGGCAAAAGCCAAACGAGCTTTTTGAATCCGTGCTGAGATTTCGTCAGTCACCAACCCATTAGGGCTTATCAGACTTCCAAGATAAGATAGATCGACAGTACTCGGAATCAGTGAAACTCATTAGACCCAAGCTGGACGGAAAAGGCCAGATACGGGAGAGATGTTTCTGTACTCCGTTCATGAAGAGGACAATGCTCCACACACTCAGGGAGTTGCTTTGATACTGTGTAGAGAAGCACGAAACGCACTCTTAGGATGGGAATCTCACAGTGAACCAGATAGATTATATTTGTATCAACAAGAGATTCCTAAGGATAATGGAAGATGTGAGAACCAGGAGAGAGGCTGACATAGCTTTAGATCACCACCTAGTTATAGTCACGATGAAACTGAAGCTAAAGAAACACTAAACATCTGGGGGGACAACATTACAAATTTTCAATACAGCCTTCCTTCGAAATACTAACAAACTCAATGAATTCAAGATAACTCTCAACAACAGGTTCCTAGCTTTTCAATATCTATTCAAAGAAGAGGAAAATACTATGGAGGATAACTGCAAAGGAATCAAAGAAGCATTAACTTCAACGTGTCAGGAGGTGCTGGACCTCAAGAAGCTTCATAATAAGGAATGGATCTCTATCGAAACCCTGGACAAGATTCAAGGAAGGAAGAACAAGAAGACAGCAATTAACAACAGTCGAACAAGAGCAGAAAAACTCAAGGCGCAAGTTGAATACACAGAAGCAAACAAGCAAGTGGAGAGGAGCATTAGAGCTGCAAGCGGAAATACGTGGAAGACCTAACAACGGTAGCGGAAGAAGCTGAGAAAGAGGGAAGTATCATATAACTGTATGACACAACGAAGAAACTAGCAGGGAAATATAGTAAACCAGAGATACCGTTCAAGAAGATGGAGAAACTCTGGAAGAGATGGGAACATTCACGTGTCTGGGTAGGATCATTGATGAAGGCAGAGGATCCTATGTAAACGTAGAGGCGATGATTGGCAAAGCAAGGGCAGTATCCCTACATTTGAAGAACATATGAAACTCGAAACAGCTGTCAGCCAACATTGAAGTCGGAATCTTCAATACAAATGTAAGACAGTTCTACTGTACGGAGCTGAAGCTAGGAAAACTACTACAATCATCATCAAAAAGTACAAGTATTTGTAGACAATCTTCTACGCAAGATTCTCAATATCTGTCGACCAAATACCATCGGCAACAACCTACTGTAGGAGAAAACAAACCAGATTCTAGTTAAAGAGGAAAATAGTTAAAGACGTTGCGAGTAGATAGGACATACACTACGAAAAGCAGCAAACTGAATCACGAGGTAAGCTCTAACCCCGAATCCTGAAGGTAAACGGAAAAGAGGAAGAAGAAAGAGTACACTGCGTCGGAAATCGGAAGCAGATATGAAAAGAATGAATAGCAACTGGAAAGGATTGCCGAGCACAGAGTTGGTAGCAGGTGTAAGTTAGTAGGTAATACCACTCTCAATGAAGTTAGCAATACCCATTTGTTATTACAAAGTTTGGTTTAAATACATTTTCTCGAAATAAAAACCATATATTTTCAAAGTATCCCAGAAACACGAATTCTAAAATAATATTTCACATTTCTTTGGTTTTACATTTCCAAAAGGAACTGATAAAGATTATTTATGCAAACGTATGTTATTCACAGTCAGAATAGTTTACTCTGCACCCATTGTTTTCCATCCAAAACAATTTTTAAGACATTAACACTCTGAAGTAAATATTTCCGAGATTATTTTTGGTTGTTATTTAAATATATCGAAAAATTCCCATCTAAATAATTAAATCGAATGCTGATTGTAAATCTTCAACAAATAATGAATGTAGCTAATGGTTTCTATACAGTTTAATAAACTTAGATAAGTTGCAAAGTGGTTTTCTATTTTTCTGTTATATAGAGAATCATTAAAAACGTTCGGCAAAGAATATTCATTTCTCTATCAGATCCAACCAAAATTTATCCGACTTGTATGTAAGTGTATGTACATTTTTAACAATTTTTATCGTACTCAAATTCATAATACTTCATTAGGTTAACTAATCAGTTTGACGAAATTAAATTGAAGCATACTTCGGATTTTTCAATAACAAACAGAACATTCAGCAAACATTCGACTTAATCGTGTTTATTTACCTGTTACAATCTGATAAGTAGTTTCTTTTGCTAGAACACGTGTATACAGTGAAAACTTAGTAACTTCTAACCGAGTTAATATAGAAGATCGTCAACAACAATCCGTAGTTTTGAAGGACGGGACAACTATGTCGTTTTAATTTTTGAAACTTAAACTAACAGATTTCGATTCAGTATTATAAAGGTAATACGCTCGCCACTAGTCCTAAATATTTTAGGTTAGATCTCTGGCGAAGATATAGACGCACGTTTACGAGTTTCATGAGAATGATACTTTTGTTCAGAGCCCCCCCCCGCCAGTTTTTAATGGTGGTCCATCAGTTTGTGATGTAAACTACCTCCAATCAAAATAATGAGTAATTTGAAATATGAACTACAATGAATGGAATGAATAAATACAAACTAGTAACAAGTGCAATTTTCTACTAATTATGTTACTGTGCTAACTCAAACCAAAATAGCAAGTTTCTTCTACCAAAAACCCTATGATATTAACAAATAAAAGCAACTATTTCTCTTGATCAATTAACTGAAAGTTAATTAAACCTTAGAATCAATGTTACGGCTTATGTAGTTTCTTTATCACTAGACCAACCATTATTATTTTAACAAGCAACTCCTCAGAATGTGATTATTTTCACTTAAAATACATTCCAAAGAGGATTGCTTCTGTCTAGGTGGATCGTCTAAAATTGATGAGTTATTTGACATCAACTAACATACATATACTAGGTTGTCCTCTTACCAAACACTTATCTAACTTCACTATTTTTCCATTTCCTTAAATTTATTATCCATCCATTTTTTACGATACAACATTCTTTACAATGTCATAACTCATGGCCCTATTAATTTATCACATGATAAGATCGCTAATAAAGACACCGACTTATGTGACCAAACCAATGACGCATACACCTGTACGAGCAGCCTACAGTTATTTTTGGTCCTCCGAGATAGTAGCTTTTCTCTTAACCCAGGCAATTCAGTCCAGAGTGTCAATATCAGCCTCCACTATAGGAATCATATATTACAGACATACTTGGTTTATAAACAAACAAACCAAACGGCATCATACCATAAAATAGAAAATAAAAAATACACAAGATCAATCCAAAATGGCTGTTGTTGTTTTAGGCTGTGACTAACATTGAGAATAACTTGAGAATAGTAAATCGTATGGCAGTAACCATTAGGTCAAATGAAAGCTTATAATAAAAGCAATGTAAATATACACATAATATAGTTACTTATTAGTTATACAATGAGAAAATGCTTAATAATAATCCATAAATAATTTCTAACATTTACCATCCATTTATTGTTTGTTAGGACATAACACTAATAAATTATTTTTTATAAATGAGTAGTATCCATTGAAACAAAGCTTTTAATTTGCTTAACTGATTTTGAATGATAGGTATGTGTTCTAATGTATTTTCATGAAAATCAAGTATTATTTAAAAATAGCTGAGATACAGTTTATTAGGAATCTAAGTTAACGATCACGTAAGTATTACTGACCTTCTGGACTGTGAAAATGGCTAATTGTTTTTATTTTCATTTGTTGTTCCTTATAAATATTCCTGCCTTTTAATTATCTCCTGCTTCTTTCCTCTCTGCATCGACCATTACTTTTTCTTTGCTTTATTTTAAAAGCTGGTAAATTAGGCACAGATTCGGGTATAATTTATGCAAATTTCAGTACAAAAACATCAAAACGTGGCCTTCTTGTGGGGCACCAACCACTTATATCGCCTGTAATTGAAATAAATGAAGATTTTACCGAGTTGAAATATAATTCTGGCCTATCAATACGTTTAAATGCAATTGAAGTTTGGGCAGCTGGTTCCAGTGATCACATGTCTAAATTAGAAGATCAAAAGAAATGGGAATCTGATCAGGTATCCTATTTTGACCGAGCATGTTACCCATATGCACCATTTAAATAAATAATATGACACTTTAGATAATAGGACAGAAACCGTTAAGCTACCTCGTTAAACAATAATAATAAAAGAATAGCACTGACCACATTTGTCATGACTTAAGGTTTTGAGTTTTTTTATGAACATGTTCAAGTTGTTAAGTAGCTAAATTAAGCGCCGATTGATACGGTATGGTCACTGGATAATTGGTCATAAATATCCACTATTAACCCGAGCTTTCAAATGAACTGATGTTAGATGACAACACATTTGACCAATAGACAGGTTTTTCAACGAAACGACACTTAAAGAGAAGACATTAACACAAACATAAATTTTATTCGAGTCATTGTAAAAATCGATACTTGAGCTAATCCAACTAGCGCTTGATTATACGAGTATATAAGTGATTTTACGATACTACCTAATAGAATAAAATAAATAAAGTAGTCTTAACTGATCATTCAGTTAGCTAAGTGTGTAGACAGCTCAACCAAAATCTCTATAGAATCTAAACGGTACGTGTATATAACTACCGTCGTGTGCAAGGAATTAGTTATCCATTCATATATTGGCGATTGTATTTAAGTCATTTGTGTCTCAAAGAGATACAGTACTATCTACATCATTACAAAAATCTCAATGAATAAGAGAAACATTTACTAATACTCATTAACTACTATGTAAATGAATTCATTGAAATGCAAATTAATCAATTAAGAGTAGTGTATGTAAGCTATCAAATTACTTGTCGCTTTTTTCTTACATTGCTTGTATCATTTTACTTGAACGAAACGTTTTGTACGTTTACTGTTTGTGGTAACATTTAAATTAAATTTTCAAAAATCACAATCCCAATATTATTGTTTCACCAAAGTCCATATAATTAAGTTACGTCATAAAAATAAGTAAACAAAACAATGATTCTAATTGAACAATGGAATAATTTCATTTCAACTAACACATCATCAATTCTCCTCACTACAGTTTATGGTGCTAACTTATAATAGAGGGTAAATACAATGGTAATTACTTAGTTAACATCACGGACTGACCTTAGTTAAATAATCATTAAAACTCAGGAAGCATTGGACAGCTGTTTCTTTCTAGTATTAGACTTTTCAACTGTGTAGATCAAGACCCTACCCTGGAATAAACCCCACACCTTCATATCTCGCAGCAAGCGCTTAACATTTGGGTCGATTAGCCTATGTTCAGTCATTTACACGTTTAACTTTAAATAATTCACTGTGTTTCTCAACCATCCTCCAGTAATGATAGTGAGGAAAAAGAGTAATTAAATCAAGTAGGGAATGATGTAATAATTCAAAAGAAGGCAGAATGAAATTATTAAGTAAACAATGGGAGTGTTTATATTTTCAAGAAACAACAGCTTTTGTTCATTGAATATAATTCAGAGTAAATTATCAGACAGTTTTGATCTTTTAGGCAGTAAAAGTGACTTAGATATTTCTTTCAAACATACTATTTATGATCGAAAAGTTACATTTTAATAGGAATTACTATATTGAAAGTTAAACTCTACAACCTGATGATAGATTAAATATGTAACTTAATAACTAACATTCATTGCCTTATTCAAGTTGACTCAATACCTGATATTGTTTGTTTGATTGCAAAGTATATTGTTCTTGGTTATCTCTGTACAATTGTTTTGAACATATATTTGATGTACACAAGTACTTGCATTGTCGAATACTTACAGCGAATCCAGCTGGTCTTTGTTGATAAGAGAATAATTAGTATGTTTGCTGCAGTAAATGTCATCTTCACTAACATGTTATGAAATATCACTAAACTCCAGTTTCAAGAATATGTGTCGTAGAAACTGTTATCAATTTACTATTTGTATATTTCACAGTAAAATGCTTTGTCATAAATTTCATCTGTTATCAAAGCTTTTATAATTTCGAAAGATCACAAATTAAATTTTCTTATTGACATTTGTATAAAAGATTGATAATTATTACTCTGTAATGAATATGCATTGAATATGTCACCCTTTTATTAAGTTGGATTAACCACTCTGTTGTAGTGACCGGCTTGTCTCGACGAGAACACGATTGGAATAATAGAAACAATTATTATTATTGTAACCAATTGTACCAGCGATTGTTTTACTGTACTTGTTTAACTGTATCAAAGTCACTTCTCATTCCGCTATCCGCCTTGTTTGGTTCGAACTCTCTTACGCTCTGTCCTTTTTGCCTGTACTCGTTGGCACGTCTCGGTATTCTTTCGATACCACGAGATCGCCAATAAATATACTCTACCTGGACCAATCACAGTCTTCTGGTTTGCGAGTTATCGAGGGAACCAAGTCGTTTCTGGATGCGTAATCTCATTCTAGTGGTGATCATATTCCATCAAGACTCGACGCCATCTACACACTGTACAAATTATTTCCTAAATTTACGTAACAGTCTTTAAACTACAGTTCACTGGACTAGTGATATTTAACGTAAACGGAAATAAATAAAACAGAAAATTTGAGATTTACTTCATTTCAAAACACTAATAATGTGTTGCTTTTTGAGTTGATTACATTATTAACAACTAAATTTTCTCTCTATTTTATTGTGAACTGAGGATAATTTTACAAAATCTAGCATTAATGTAATCAACTCTATTCTGTGTATATACATAGCAGATGATTATTGCGGTTTAAAAAGAATCTGAATCACTGTTTGATTTCCAGATTCCCAATGAAATATTCCACTAGACGACCGAAACGAAATAAAAGTATTTATTAAAAGAGATATAAATTAGACGTTGTCAAGTCTTCACCCCAATCTTCAGCATATATCTAGGTTTTAATATTGTAAAAGTATATAGTACAAAAGTTTATACGTCACATACTATCATTGAAATCCTAAACCATGTTATATGTCATAGATTTATTGGCCATTTAGTTCGCCATTTCTGGTTATGATATATTTGAGTTAATATTAAATCTTCAGTAATCAAGGCATTATTTATAACTTTTATTTTTCTGTTAGGTTGCTAAAGCGAAAGAACGAAAGTTGAAAAATGAAACATGGCAAGATTCTGCTGATCGTTTCCTACTAGAATTGGATGGGAAGCGAGTACGTCATTCTGATGAGATTGAACCACCTTGAATACTATTTGGATTCACTCGAATTTCCGAGTAAACGTCTCACCGAAATGCATAATAATAATAATATGGTCGAAACTAATCTACTGAATTTCCTATCGATCAATTCTTTTGACGTTAGTACTTTGTTAACCTTCATTCTCGCACCAAGAATCTCTTTTTTGCCATGGATCTTAAATATCTTTTTCATCTACTTTCGTAAATATTTTCTATCATATTACAAAATCACTTCACATTTTACTATTCTTATCTTATCTATTTAAGTTTACAAAGTCCTTCAGTCACCCTCGTTTCTTCTTGTAAACGATAGATCACTAGCAAGAGTGATTATTGTTAATATTCTTTGTTCATATATTTCTACGTAAATGAACAGAGTAAGTAGACCATCCATGATTAGTTTCTCTTTTTACTTGATTTGCTGATTCTGGCTAAATACAATAAAATAGAGAAAATGTCATTATTCGTAGATTTTAAGTGGTTAACAGGATATTCTCACAAAACCCTAAACCTAGCTCTACCACCCGTTTGGGGTTATCAATAAACCGAATGTACAATCTTGGAGGTAACATGCATCAACCAGTATCAGTCAAAGGTGGTACAATTAGTCTTCAGGACCGAGTAATCAGTTCCCGGATAGCATCAAAAATGGGTTTATCCTCTCACCAAATCGTTTATAATCACCAATCACGCACCAGTTACTGTCGTCATTTTTAGCGAGCATGTATAACTCAAACTGTGCATCACTTACATGGTGAACTGTCCCCGAATTCGATATGTGAATTATTAACCTCCTTTCTTAGCTTTCTGTCGCCTATTCGGCGTATGCTTAAGTCTGAGTGAACATATTACGAATGGATAGTCTAGTGTTTCTATCTTCGAGCAGCCGTTTGCTTGAGTAAACAAGCAACTTCTTATATTCTAACAAATTCATGCTAATGGTAGACACTGAAATATCTACAATAGTAGGAATCTTATGTGTAGTCTTAATTTGATCAACGATAAGACAAGTAGGCCTTTTTTCCGTTTTCGGTGATGTTTTAGAGAAATTAATGCTTTGCTATTATTTATTTTCATTGATAGCAGACCAACTCACAGCAACATTGTCTTTTGGATGATTCTTATCAAGTAAGATGATTACCGAAACAACAGCAAGCGAAAAGAAATCAAACGATTTATACAAGTCCGTGATAAATATATTAAATATTAGATTCAGTTGCTTTAGTTTAGTTGAAGATCTATTCGACCTATAAAAATGATCAGAAATTTCGTAGAAATCTCAATAGTATGCAAGTTTAAAAAATCTTCAGGCTGAAAATATTTGATAGTGTCTCCTGAAATAAAAATAACTGTGACGGTCATCTAGAAGCGTCTTGAATGCATTGAACAGTTTTTATTCTTGCATACTAGGTATCGAAGCACCATATTTTTTCCTTTCAGAGACAACTGTGGTGTTTGTATGAACTGCGCTTATTCAAGTGTTCCTAGTTCGTATACTAATTCAAATACTTCTAATTATCACAATAACCTTAGTGGTTCATATTCATGAAACTTCAATCTTTTCTGTATACATGATTGTACCGGCCAACATTCAAATATTCTGTCTGAATGCAGAAAACAACTCAACGAAATTAATAATTAGTCTTGATTAACCTAAACCATTGTGTTCTTACGTATAGGGTACGAAACATACGTGATTCATCTTTCTGATGTTCAAGAGCAGAAAAATAGGCGGTCAGAACGTTTTGAATAACTCGTAAGTAAAATAACTTCGCTAAACCTTCAGGATATTAAAGCAGCGCATATCATAAGATCACCTTTGTTTGGTTTTGCGTGAAAGTCTTCATGTGTTACTTTTCGCGTGATAACTCGTTCTCTTCACTTAAGTAGTAAAGTTAGCACTTCTGTGAAATCCAAAAATTTCAGTAACACAAATAGACGTGAACTGGAGAAAAGATAGTGACTTACCCAGTTGTGTGCATCAAGAGAAAGGTTGTTATATACGCCGGATTCTGTTTAGCAACGTAAAATACTGTACAAAGCAATGTATACTAGTGTTACTAAATAGATAATTATGGTTACAAATAGAACAGACCATAATTAAACAGCAAACGTTAAAACCATGGAATAATTTTCTGTCCAAGAATGCAAAATTACCATTAATAAAATAGCTCAGTATGTAGTAGTCAACTACTTAAAATAACAAACTTCCCCGACAACTAGGAAATCAAGTATTTATCCCAGCAGGGATAAACCATTACAGTTGGATCGATCAGGAAGACCGTCGCTGACCAACCGAATTTAAAATGTTTGATAAAATAAGTGTGAAATAATAGTCACAGCCCCAACAACATCCAAGAGTTCACCACAATTCAGAAATTATGAACAATGCGGTAACAAAAATTGCAAATAAACCAAAATAAAATGTGTAGATACAGTCAACAACAGGAGAAATGACACATAAGAGGACAGGGAAGCCGTAAAAAAGACAGGGCGCTTTACCAAAACATTCTTAGAAACATATGTAAATGGATTTTACACCTTCATTTAAAAACTCACTACGTTTTAAGCTTGCACGAGACGAGTATAATTCATTTTACAGATATTTTTCGCTTATTGACCCCCCCCCCACTACCTTATATAGTTTTTTACCAATGCAATACACTGAACACTCTTCTCTGGCGACTGTCATATTGGGTGAGTCTCTTCCGTTTTGGAACTTCATATATCATTGCTTCACTTTAATTTATATAAATTCTGACTTTACTTTACATTTTTGAAAATCACCCCTTTGTTCATTCCTACACTTTATATTCGTCATGACTGAACAGACTCCTAGGTTATTTAAGATCAAGACTGTGACACCAACCCCATTTAAGCTAGTGCTATTCAGTCCCGAAAACATCGAAGCCTGTTCCTACTACGCAAACGCTGACTTCTACGAGAACGGCGTGACAGATACACGCGCACAATTTCTCTCACTAGTAAAGGCACTACCACTCGAGTTCAACAGGTAGGTCACTTCTAGTATGTTTACTAGTGATGTTTCGGAACCTCATGAAACTCTGAAACGGTCTATTCTGAAATGCGGAGATCTAATCGGTCGACAAAGGTTAGAGCAACTCCTCAATAACGTCGATCTTTTACATAACTCAGCAACGGACATGTTGTTATGAACTTCAGAAGTAATTGGTCAACGGACTCTCGACAATGGCCTGTTTAGACGACTTTTCTTGTCTAAGCTTCCTCAACACGTTCATTTGTGCTGATATTGTTTCAAAACAACATTGTAGACGAGCTGGCTGCATCTGCCAACTGAAATTTAGAGATCACTAAACCTAACGCCGAGAACTAAACAGTCAAAAAGGAACCTAAACGACGTTACAGAACCATGTCATACTCTGACACGTTACCTTCGTATTCGACATGACCGGAGACCATCATAAACTCTTCAAAAGAGTTATTCACAAAAACTATCTGTCTCTAGATCACGAAAAAAAGATAACCTCGACTGGTGCTGGTATCATAATCAGTACGGTAAATATAGAAATTACAGAAAACCCTGCAATTCTCCGAGCTTCAAACCGATAGACACGAAAAACATTTCGGGAAACTTCCCAGCTGCCACGCCTTAACGGCCACCATAGCCGGTGAACATAGAGTACTCTATACCTCAGTGATGTGATTATGAAGTTTCGCTACCTCTTCGAGACTGGGGCGGACGTTAGCGTTCTTCCAGCGACGGACTGCAGGAACCGGTCTTAAACTTACAGGCGACAAACAGAAAAAATATGTTAAGTCGTACGTTTATCTTAACGCAGGTGTACACAAACCCATTCACTGGATTTTCGTTGTTGCAGATGCCTCTATGAAAATCATTGATATAAATCTGCCACATCATAATTTACTTATCGCACGCGCGAATGGGGGACAGTATGCGGGAATACTAATTTAAATGCTTGTGAAACTTATTTTCTCGGTTGCAGATTATCCTCAGTCAGAGTAAAGCACACGATCGATTCATATTACCAAGTCGCCTGAGATATACCACGCGCAACCGTAATTTCCGTGTGTACCTGCAGCAAGCCCATTCAACTACTGTATTTTTTGTGTGCTCTCTGTAATCTTAACATTTAATCCACTTTGTAAATTTATGTGTGAGTCTGATTGAGCGCATATGTCTGCACATCAATCTTTAATCTGTTCTCTCATTGGTTGTAAACAAAGACAATCAATAATTTATCCACAACCCATTAACACTCAAAAATATATATGGATTTTTACCACTCACACACACACACTTGTTTTCCCGGTGTGCTTGCTTTCTGTCCGATTGCGGATTTTTGCCGAGCTTCAACAATAAACTGTCTCTATAACTGGTGTTCAGGCTTTTGAATAATCTCGAGTAAACCCGTAATTCTACTAGGAGATTTAGCCTGCAGTTAATATTCAGTTATCGGGATACTATTTATTTATTGTAGTCAGATATAGAGGAATTAATCCTCTACAAACCCAAATTTTACACATCGCATCACGACTACAGGACCACCTGTGTTCTCGAAGGCGCGCTAACTAGCTTCCGAGAAGCTGATATTGGTTATGAACGACTTCGACCAAATGATAAATTTAGAGATCATTCGGCCGTCAAACAGCCCATGGGCATCTCTCTTACACATGATCCTTGAAAAAACAGCAACGACTAACGTCCGACTGGTGACTATCGATGGTTGAATGCAAAAACACTTCCTGATCATTACCCGTTACCTCACATTCAAGATTTGCCAGCATCCTTGAGAGGTACAACTGTCTTTTGGAAAATTGATTTGGCCGAAGCATATAATAATTTCCTATGGCCACTGACGACATTCCTAAAACCGCCATCACGACTCCTTTCGGTCACTACGAGATTCTACGCATGCCTTCCGGTCTAAGAAATGCTGTCCGGACTTTCCTAAGGTTCATCAATGACGTTTTCTGAGGTCTCAAATTCGTATATGTTTATGTTAATGACTGCCTGATGGCATGTCCAGATAGATAATCTCACCTCCAACATCTGGACCTTGTTTTCGAACGACGATTTAATCATGGCATTACTGTAAAAATTCAGAAATACCTAATCGGGACTGACTCCCTGGATTTCCTAGGACATATTATTGATGCGCGAGGCATCCGACCTCTGAGAAGCAAAGTGGCGGTCACGTTGGATTACCCGGAACCGATCACAATTAGGCAATTACGCACGTTTAACGGCCTTGTAATTTTAGATGAACGGTTCATACCAAACTGCGAGTCCCTCATGAAACCACTAACCAAACAAGTTCATGATGCTCGTTTCGACCATTTTCATCTGGATTTAGCAGGACTCTTACAGGATTAAAATGGGCACTCCCACCTCCTGAATTGTGCAGACCGTTTCACTCGATCGTCAAAAGTAGTACCCATCAGGGACACTACTATTGAAAAAATGGCGCGCACCTTCGTCGAACGGCGAGTAGCGAAGTTTGTCTATCCTTCAACTATTAATACAGACTGCGGACGTTTGTTGGAATCTGAACTTATTCGTTGTCAGAGTCGACCATTAGAAATAACTTGATTCCGAACGACCGCCTACCACACACAAACAAATGGGTTGGTAGAAAGACTTCACTGACAGAGTAAACCTTCCTTATCACATACAAACGCTTCAAAATGGACCGAATCTCTTCCACTCAACTTACTCGGTATTTGTAATGTAGTGGATCTGAACTCATACGCGAGCAGGCTTACAAACGCAATACATTTGGTTAAACATGTTTCCAATCGACCCCAGCAAACTGGTGTCATGTTCAACCTGAATTACGATATAGTACATACATATTTGTAGGTCGTGACTCACTTCGGCGACCTTTCAAAGAGGCATACGAAAGACCATTCAAAGTTGTTCAGCATCGATCTAAGTACTATATAGTCGATAAGAACGGCCCTAACCATAGCATCAGCGTCGATCTCATCAAAGCAGCGAATTTAGAATTCATGTCGATTTTCCTTCAGTACAATTGAAAGACACGAGTCTCACAATTATGGTACCTCGCCCGATAAACAACAATCACGATGATATTTTGATGGTATCTGACAACAGAATCAAAACAACGCGTTCTGGAAGTAGAATGAGGTTTCCAGAACACCTAACCGATTACTGCACGTAAGACACTACATAGCACTTTGTTTCGTCTCGATTTTTCTTTGTTTTATGTCAAAAAGAACCAACTTACTATGCTTATATATATTATTTTGTTTCTTTTACCTCCGTCTCATCATTGTACTTTTTAAAAGTTTTTAGTTGTACGCCATGAGTTTTTAGAAATTTTTTCATTTAGGCAATTAATTGTGTCTCACCATGTATCGGTCGTACAGTACTTGATTTATTATCTGATGGATCTAAAACTTGTTCCATGGTCAGACAGGATTTCGCAGCTAAATGTGCAACAACAGCATCTGTATGAATAAACAAAGCATTACAATTATGTCCAACACCTGAATACATTTTTAATTCTTGAAATCGGTCGTTTTGAAACATCTTGTCGATGCACTTGGCAGGTGAACGTCAGAAAATAAGCTGTAAATTTACCGTCATTTATATCTTTTTTATAATTGAATTCATGAGTCAATTGAAGATAGACTACCACATGAAACCTGGAAGCACTGGACGGTCGTGTCATCCTATTGTGGGACTCCTCAGCAGTGCGCATCCACAATCCCGCCTCGCGATATTCGAACCCAGGACCTATCAGTCTCGCGCGCAAGCGCTTAACTTCTAGACCACTGAGCCGACATCCAAAGTGTTAACGTCCAACACACTGAAGACAATGGTGAACCATTGCACAATTTCGTGGATTGGTTGAAGTTAGACATTTACTACGTTGGATGCCGGCTCAGTGGTTTAGAGATTAAGCGTTTGTGCGCGAGACTGATAGGTCCTGGGTTAAAATCTCGCGAGGCGGGATCATGAATGCGCACTGTTGAGGAACCCTACAAAAGGACGGAACGGCCGTCAAGTGCCTACGGGTTTTCCATGATGGTCTAGCTTCAATTAACACATGAATTCTACAATGCAATCACTAAAATTTCCACAAAAAACTGCTGGTATGTTTTTCGGTCGCGTCGCAGAATTCGAAAAGCTATATGCAGTTTTCGAGGTCAGCCACACTTAAACTAATAATAAACTGCCTGAGATTTGACTTCAGTATGATAAGTAGAAGTAGGCGAATTATTGCACTAACCAGGAATTCCCAAAATATTTCAATATACAACAATTAGAACCAGATGAGTATAAATAAAGTTAGTGCATATGAAATTCATAATCAGCGGACCATCCTGTCCAATGTATCTCGTGCTTCTCTCCAGAAGTTGACGTCTTCATGATCAAGTAGATCACCTAGTGAAAGAGAAAGGGTGAGAGTAATCAACCTCGCCTAATACCGGTCTTTACCTCGAATGAGTCGGTGAGTTGTCCTCCATGAACGATTTGGCAGTTCAATCCATCATAGGAATTCCGTATGATATTGAATATCTTCTCAGGCACACCGTAGTGTCGAAGAAGCCTCCATAGTGTTGTCCTGTCCACGCTTTCAAATGCCTTCTCTTAGTCAATGAAGTTGATGTAAAGTGATGAATTCTATTCAATTGATTGTTCCACAATGATCTCGAAGTTGGGCGTCTATGGAGTCCTTCATTCTGTTCAACAATAGCCTGTTAATGACTTTTCCTGGTATTGAGAGAAGAGTGATTCCTCCGCAGTCATCACACTTGCTAAGATCGCCTTTATTTGGTATATTGATCTGAAGTCCTTCATTCCAGTTTGTTGGTACTTGTTCTTCATCCCGAATCTTACTGAAGAGAATGTGGAGTATCTTTGCAGTTTCTGCCTTATTTTCTTTTAGTGCCTCTGCTGGAATGTTGTCTGGTCTTGCTGTTTTGCCGCTCTTGAATGCCGTTCTTCAATGTCGGTGATTACCTTGCCTTCCTTGCCTTTCACTGGCCATTCTGGTAATTTCCAGCAAGTTTCTTTGTTGTATCATACAATTGTCTCATGTTTCCTTCCCTTGCAGCCTTTTCCGCTGTCATTGCTAAATCTTCCACATTTTCACGTTTGTCGGTTCTGATTATCCTCTTTACTTGCTTGTTTGCTTCTGTGTATTCAGCTTGTGCCTTGGTTTTCTCTGCTCTTGTTCTGCTGGTATTGATTGCTACCTTCTTGTTCCTTCTTTCTTCAATCTTATACAGTGTATCGACAGTGATCCATTCTTTGTGGAAGTGCTTCCTATGGCCCAGAACCTCCTGGCGTGTTGAAGTATTTGTCTCCTTGATCCCTTTCCAGTTGCTCTCCATGATCTCCATTGAGTAGATCATGAAAGGCCTGGAACCTGTTGCTAAGGGCTATGTTGAATTTGTTGAGTTTGCCAGCATCTCGAAGAAAGGCCGTGTTAAACTTTTGTTATGTTGTCTGCCCCGTTGTTTAGTGCTTCTTGATCTTCAGTTTCATCCTGGAGACCAGCAAGTTATGATCTGATGCTATATCAGCTCCTCTTCTGGTTCTCACATCCTCCATCGTCCTCCTGAACTGTTTGTTGATGCAGATATGGTCGATTTGATTCTGTGTAGTGTGATCCGGTGAAGTCCATTTGGTTTCGTGTATGTTTTTGTGTGGGAATATGGTGCCACCTATGACCAGTTTATTGAAGGTACATAGTTTTGTAAACCACTCACCATTTTCGTTCCTTTATCCCAGTCCATGTCGTCCCATCACGTCTTCGTATCCAATGATGTCCATTCCAACCTTGGCATTTAAATCTCCCATTAGAATGGTCAGGTAATTTGTTGGGCACTTCTCGATGATCGACTGCAGCCTATCGTAGAATTGGTCTTTAGCGTTTTCATCGTAGTCGTTGGTAGGCGCATAGCATTGGACGACATTAATTGTAGTGCCCTCTTTCTTTGTTTTGAAGGAGGCTTTGATGACCCTGAGTTCATGAGATTCCCATTCAATAAGTGCATTTTGTGCTTTTCTGGACAGCACCAATGCAACGCCTTTCGCATGTGTAGCATCTTCTTCATGACCGGAGTATAACAGAAGTTCTCCTGAAGATAGTCGTTGTTGACCAACCTGCGTCCAATGTGTTTCACTGATTCCAAACACCTCCAGGCTGTATTTTCTCATTTCTGCAGCAATTTTGAAAACTCTTCGGGTCTCTCACATTATCCGTATGTTCCATGTGCCTATAAAAATTGTTGCTCTAGCTGCTAGAAGGTGCATCGGCCTCATGACTTCTGAAGGAACCCGGCTTTCATCATAAGACGTCATAATTATTCCTTCAACTCGCAGGGTAGACTTTAAATGGTTTGAATGATTTTTTCCGGTTAGCGTTTTTTTGGAGTATTAGTTTTTCTACGGGATGTGGTCGCTAACCCCTTGCCCAACCTTCCTCCTTTATCCGGGCTTGGAACCGGCAGTAGCTCCCGAAGGAGCTATAGGCGGAGTTTAGGATGACATTACCTGTATTTTATTTCAATTTTTGCTTTTCTTACGTCTTCACTGAATATCCATGTTTCTTCCTGAACAAAGTCCATGTTGTTTTAGTCGGTATTTAGTTATGACGTTCATCATATTAACTAGCTCCTCCTTTTGATCGTGTTGCTTGCATTGATTGGAAATATGGATCCTTGATTTTGATTTGAAGCACTCCTTGAGAACTGGAAACGCTTCGTGTTATGACGTAATTAGATATTATATTTCGAACGATCCGTACTTGATCTATCCGGAAAAGATAAAATAACACTTGTTTGCTGCACATAGGAATTCTATTATATTCTTTATCAATTTGTATATCCGATGCAACTTCTATATGAACACCGATTAAATAGTTGTTGGCTGAGTAACTGGGTGGTGGTATCTGTGTAGACAGTGATGTGGAATCAAATTTAAAATGAAATCTGTAGCCACCATTTACCCAGTCATCTCGTTTTGGCTTTAGTTGGGCGAGAGCGTATACGAAGAGTAACCTAGACAGTCATTCATCATTCTAAACGTATTTAGTTTGGAAGCTACATATACATTAAATGGTAATCCACGAGGACTCTGAGATCCCACCATGAAATGCAAACACACCAAACAAGATAAGAACTACAACTAGGGCTCAAAATATGGAGATATTGCCAAGGGATGAAATCTTTGTACCACTGAATAATACCTATGATATCAACGCTTCAGCCCCTTTGAGAAGTGGATAATCTGTTGGTAGCATTATTTATACTGTAATAGAATTACTGGTGATTATAGTATCATTGTCGACATAAAGTTTATACGATCACGTAAAGGTTTCGTTTTGGAGTTAATTAAACACTACTATTACTTCGATTCACCAGTTTTCCTTCAATCTAGTTATGCTTTTACTGTTATTAACTACTTTACCTGCTAGTTATTTCGGTAATCTAAACATTTATCAAAGAACATTCGTGTTACAATTCTTACTTAAATTACTCACATGAGGTCACCAAGTCAGTGACAACGTATTTAACGTATTTTATTCAGTTCATTCGTTTTCTTTGTCATGCTGCGGATAATGAATAAAATACTATCGTCGTGAGCTGTATGAATATATTCATTCTGCTGGACTTTATTTATAAACGCCACTTTTTATGCTGCTTGACTATTCTGTTCTGGTCAATGTAGTTTTCCTAATCATTGATATCACTAAACATTACTCTCCAAATATTAATCCTAACTACGAATAAGACTGATAACTATTAACAACATCTCAGAAGCTCTTTGACGTGGAAAGCGAAAGGTGTGGGACTTGGCATCGTACCTTTCTGGAAACAATTTTACACAATATCTCATTCGAAAATTATCCTGATTGTTATTACTATGTCTCCTCGACAGCACATCTATGACTATTTCTAAGTCTTTTCTCCATTTCAGGAGATTCGTCACCCGGAAGCAACGCCCATATAGCGATCCTTCTCTGATGTTAGTATATGGCACGATTCTTGATATCCAGACAGCATATATTGTACTAATCCTTCTGGAACCTCCGTAACTATACCCTTTGAACTGATTGGCCAGCTGCTACCTACCATCTATTTCTGCACTTAACGACTAGGCCACTGTAGACATCCTTGCAGTCTGTTTCGAACGGAGACTAGAAACCTGATATGTGGAACAATTATGTAAGTGATGATGTCTGTCAGAAACTATAAGTTTCTCCGGACAAATGCAAGGACGAGAGCAATAATAGTTGAGAAGAAACATATGTCAGAGTGCAGGCAGAGTAAGTGGAAAATAAGGCATTGAAACCGTTTATTTCGTAGTGGGAAAAATTTTCACGATCGGTTGTGATGTGATCTGGTTACGATTCATAGTCGACTGCCTTAAGATGGTAGTGTAAACTAAAATCACCCAGAAATTAAAATGTGAAATAATTCATGTGGCCGATAGACCCGATAATAAAAGGAAAACCTGAAAGAATTGAACGAGTAAGTACAGTAGTACTACTTCACATGGTATCATATATCATTACC